AAGTTCCCATGAGGCTCTTATCTCCAATTAACCCCCAGAAAACTGGAAATGGAGCTGTGGCTCAAAGTGGTGAAGTGTTAGCCTTGAGCAGAGATAGCGTCTAGGCCCTGAGTCAAAGCCTATGACTGCTCCTCCCCCCACAAAGAGCAACTACCCTTTGACCTGCAACCCTCAGCTCAAAGCCATTTGCCCCATCTTTCCCAAAGGATCTGCTTATAGGTGACTGCGAAAGGAAAAGGGAAATGAGCCTGCCAGTGGGGGGAAAATATAGGAGGTGGCCTAATCACAAGTTGGCTGTGGTCAACACCCAGGTTTGCTGAAGAACCTGTTGAGTGAGCCCTGTCCCAGCCAAGACATGGTATGGATGTGCTTCTTGGGACAATGTTGATTATGTAGCTTGGCTGGCTGTGTGAACACTCAGAACAGGAGATCCCTGCCTGATTCTGGAATCTCTCCATGTTGAAGAGACAGGGAAGTGACTCCCTGGATCTGTCAGCAGTCTCTGGATACCTATTGTGAGCCTGTGAATGTCTCACTCAAGTGTATCCTCTCACCAAAAGCATGGGGATAAGATCTGTGCTTTGCAATGTATGTCAATTTTACCTTAAAAGAGAAATGAGAACTGTATAAAATAACCACATCAAGTGAGGAAAGCAGGTAGGAATTAACAGGGAGTATGTAGAATAAATGAAGCAAGAATAGCAGAACTTGGGATGTGTTAAATCTGGGTGATAGCCACAGGAGCCATTATACAATTCTTGTGTTTAAAAAATATACATTTGAGGCCAGGAGCTGGTGACTCATGCCTGTAATCCTAGTTACTCAGGGAAATGAGATCTGAGGATTGCGATTTGAAGCCAGTCCAAGTAAGAAAGTCCATGAGACTCCTATCTCCAATGAACCACCAGAAAACCAGAAGCAGAGCTATGGCTCAAAGTAGTAGAACACTAGCTTTGAGCAAAAGAGCTCAAGGATAGTGCCTAGGCCCTGAGTTCAAGCAAATTGGAAAAGATAAGTGTGGTAGTACATACATGTAGCACTAGGGAGGCAGAGACTGAGAATTTGAGGCCAAACTGGGCTATATAAGAGATCTATCTCAGAAAACAAAAGGAAACATATACACACAATGCAGCACGTTTGTGTTTTTCCCTTTGCACAACTGTATAATGTGCTGACTGTACACAGATTACGGGATAGATTGAGGTACTGTCAGAGAATTGATTTGTTTGTTCATTGATCACTGTGTGTAATTGAGGAAGCATGCCAGTTAGTCCCTGGCTTAACTGTGTCTAAGCATCTATTTTGAAATAGATACAACAGAGCCAAAAGCCATGGGTGCTGTGACTGTCCCCGAGAGAATAAAGAGAATTAACACATATCAAAAGGGAAATTTTCCAAGGCCTGGCACTACCATTTCCCCAGCAAACCTCTCACCCAAGAGGTCCCTAGGAGATACCGAATGACAGCCAACAAAAGAGCTTCAAAGGACCCAACATGGTTAGCAGGAACCAAAATATCTCTTTGTGCAGATTAGCTATTTTAACACCATCATTTCAGACCTCAGAAATGAGCCTAACCTGGCTGTTGGCAGATAATTAACCATGCCATATGGAATGTGTGTGTGTGTGTGTGTGTGTGTGTGTGTGTGTGTGTGTTGGTACTGGGGCTTGAAATCAGGACCTTGTGTTCTCATTCACATGGCTTTTTCTGCTCAAGGCAAGTGTTTTACCACTTGAACCATACCTCCACTTTCCAGCTTTTTGAGACAAAGGATGAGAAGGAGTAACAGGCCTAGAGTGATGATAGGCCAATGGCACAAAGAATTCCTATTCTGCTGTTCTTGGTGACTCTGATGTTTAAATCTAAAACCAAAGATTCTAGTTAAAAACTAGGCACAGGCTCCCCCAACTTTGTCTTCTCTGTGTCTCAGGGTCAAGTACCAAGTTTATGTTGCTGTCCTGAGCCAGCCATCCTGGACGCAGCTCAGAGCTCTACATGCTGAGCATATAATATAGGTTTGGTAAATATTTATAAGAGGAGAAAATAAAATGGACCCTACAATTGTTCTCTTCTTGACTAAAGTTTCTGTAGTCACAGGACAAGAAACAACATATTCACGGTTAGGTTTTTAAAAAGAGGTGGCCGAGTAAGAACAGCACCACACACGTGGTATTCAGGTAAGGGGTAGGTTTATTCAGTAGACCTGCTGGGACCAGGCAAGGTTGGCACTCCACGCAGCTGGGAAAGGCCTGGGAAAGACCTGAGAAAGAGAGAGAGCTGGGAAAGAGAGCAGAGAAAGAGCTGGGAAAGAGAGCAGGGAAAGAGAGAGTGAGCTGGGAAAAAGAGCTAATAGAGCTGGGAAAGAGCTGAGAAAGAGTGTCTGGGCCTTATCTAGGGTATGGGCGGAGAAAGGTGTGGCCACATCAAATTCAGATGTGATCTCAGCAGACGCAGATGTGACCTCTTCCAGGTGTGCCAGTTGCCTAGGAAACGCAGGTACTGGGTGGAGACTTTGCTGCGAGGAGGGTGGAGTCTGCTCGCCATCCAGGAGCGGACTTTACATTCACCAAGTTTCAACAAATCTGTGCTGTCACAGTATCTAAGCCACACTCTGTTACGCCACAAAGACAGAAAAAGGCTCTATCAGTTAAAATATGACACAGTGTTTACTTTTGTTTAATTATAAGGTACATTTTGATTCCATAGATGCTACATATGAAAAAAATGTACTAGTATTGGGGTTTTAACCCAAAGCTGGACACTGTACCTTAGCTTTTTTTGCTCAAGGCTGGTGCTCTACCATTTGAGCCACAGCTCCACTTCTGGGTTTTTAGTGGGTTAATTGAAGATAAGAGTTACAGACTTTCCTGCCTGGGCTGGCTTTGAATTGAAGTCCTCAGTTTTCAATGTCATGAGTTGTTAGGACTATAGGCATGAGCCACTGGCACCTGGCTAAAAAAAATGTGTGTTTTAGAAGAGATGAAATGCATCCTGTTTTCTGTTGCAATGCTCTCTCCTTGTGATCCTGATAGGACCTGAAATGGTCTCATTTTTAGTCTCAGTTCCTGGCAGTTAAACATGTTATACAATCGCACTTTCGTGTGGTCAGAAGAGGAAAATTCCTCATTTTTTCTTATGGCTACAGTCATATGAAGTTTCATAATATTCTCTAAGTTAGATCATAACTCGCGGATTCCGTGGTCTGCTGTTGATGACAAGATTTGGAAGAGCTCGGAAAACTGTTTGCTTTCTTCTGAGTGGAGTTTTGTTGCTGTTAATGCTCGATTTGGCTGTGTTGTTGTTTTCTAGTTAATGTATTCTCGTTCAGCTAAGGCAACTGAGTGGTGAGTGGCCATTTGCACAGAGAAATTAAGCACAAACAGGTGCAGGTGATGAATGCCTCCACGCCAGGCCTCAAAAGGACATTTTCATGAAGCAAGCCTGGGTTGGTAGTCTTTCTCAGCAGAAAGGTGGTGGTGGGGACAGGGGGAGGGGTTTGGAGGGGCGAGAAGAACTGGAAGAACCACTTGTGTGACACTCCATGTATGTGTTTTTTGTTTTTATTTTTGTCAATCATGGGGCTTGAACTCTGGGCTTGGGCGCGGTCCCTTCACTCTTCAGCTCAAGGCTAGCACTCTACCACTTGAGCCACAGTGCCACTTCCAGTTTTCTAGTGGTTTATTGGAGATAAAAGTTGCACAGACTTTTCTGCCTGGGCTGGCTTTGAACCATGATCCTCAGATCTCAGCCTCCTGAGTAGCTAGGATTACAGGTGTAAGCCATTGGCACCCGGCTTCCATGTATGTGTTTTGTGGATCAGCCCTTTATTTAGTGTCCTTCTGTTGAGAACATCCTTGCTCATAACTTCTATAGTTTGAGACAAGAAAAAACAAATCTTTTCTAGACTCTGTGTGTGTGTGTGTGTGTGTGTGTGTGTGTGTGTGTGTGTGTGTGTGTGTGTGGCAAGGGAGAGGCGGTGCATGTTCCAGTACTAGGGCTTTTGAAACTCAGGGCTGGGCACTGCTCCTTAGCCTTTTTGCTCAAAGTTTAGAGCTCTATCGCTTTGAGCACAGCACCACTTTGGGCTTAAAATTTTTTTTTTAATTATTGTTAAATAGTTGTACAAAGGAGGTGCCATATAACAAAGCAGTTTATGAATACAAATGCATCTTGATCACAATCATCCTGTTCAGCATTCTCACCCATTCCTTCCCTTCCTTGTCTTAATTTTGTACTATCTGCAATGAATTCTTAACTACAGTCTCTTCCCCTTTCCACCTTCATAAGTCTACTCTTCTCCCCTTGGCTCCACCCCCTTCTTGCCATGTACCTATTTCCTGGTGTTGATTTTGTTGGGCTTTGACCTAGTCTTTCTAAAAGATTATACTATTTGTGGAGTCTACTATGCTTCAGTGAATTCATTTGTAACCAATTGCATACCACCCATTCTGTTTACTTATAGATTTATAGGAACATTCTATCTACCACAAATGAGGGAAACCATGCAACCATTGTTTCTCTGGGTCTGTCTGACTTATTTCACTTAAAACAATTTTTTTCTAAGTCTTTCCATTTCTTTTCGAATGGCACAATAGTATTCTTTCTAATAGATGAGAAAAATTCCATTATATATGTATTATATATATCACATTTCCTTGATCTATTCATCCATTGAGGGACATCTGGACTGATTCAGTATCTTAGCTATGGTAAATAGTGCTACAATGAACATGGTTGTGCTGGTGGCTTTAGTGTGGCTTTGTATAGTGAGATTGCAGGGTCACTGGGTACCTCTGTGTTTAGTTTCTTGAGGAGTGAGATTGCTGGGTCATAGGGTACCTCTGTGTTTAGTTTCTTGAGGAATCTCCATACTGCTTTCCAGAGTGGCTAAACAAGCTTACATTCACAACAGTGTACGAGGGTTCCCTTTTGGCTGCATCCTTGCCAACATTTGTTGCTATTTGTTTTCTTGATTGTGGCCACTCTAACTGGGGTGAGATGGAAAGCAACGGTTAGATGCCATAAAGTAGGTGGCAATGCCTTAACCATATGCATATTGTCATTCTCAAGGACCTCTTCCATCTTTGTCCAGGGGAGTGCTAACTCCTTTCATATGACACCCACTTCTGGCTTTTTGCTGATTAATTGGAGACAAGAGTCTCACAGATTTTCCTATCTAAACTGGATTGGAACCACAATCCTCAGATATTAGCCTTTTAGGTAGCTAGGATTATAGGCATGAGTCATCAGCTCCTGTTTTCTCTTTTTTTTCCTTCCCTACCTCTCTCCCTCCCCCCCCCTCTTTTTTTTTTTGTCAGTCATGGGGTTTGAACTCTGGGCCTGAGCGCTGTCCCTCAGCTTTTCAGCTCAAGGCTAGCACTCTACCACTTGAGCCACAGCGCCACTTCCAGTTTTCTGGTGGTTTATTGGAGATGAGGTTTACAGCCTTTCCTGCCAGGACTGGCTTTGAACCATGATCCTCAGATCTCAGCCTCCTGAGTAGCTAGGATTACAGGCGTGAGCCACCAGTGCCTGGCTTCCTTCCCTCTCTCTGTCTCTTTCTCTCTCTTTCTCCCTTTCTTTCTTTCTTTCTTCCTTCCTTTCTCTCTCTCTCTCTCTCTCTCTCTCTCTCTCTCTCTTTCCTTCCGTCCTGGGGCTTGAATGTAGGATCTGAGTTCTGTCCCTGAGCTTTTGTGCTGAAGACTAGTGCTATATCACTTGGACTTTTTGGTAGTAAATTTCTGACTTTTTGATAGTAATTTTTTTTTTTTTTGTCTGTCATGGGTCTTGAACTCCAGGCTTGGGCGCTGTCCTTGTGCTCTTCAGCTCAAGGCGAGCACTCTACTGCTTGAGCCACAGCACCACTTCTGGTTTTTTAGTGATTTATTGGAGATAAGAGTCTCACGGACTTTCCTGCCCAGGCTGGCTTTGAACTGTGATCCTCAGATCTCAGCCTCCTGTGTAGCTAGGATTACAAGCATGAGCCACTGGTGCTGGGTTTAGTCTAATCTTTAGTGACCTTCTGCTGCTGCTTCTCCATAGGACATTGTTTAGGTACAACAGTAAAGACACACACACACACACACACACACACACACACACACACACATCCTGGTGGAAAGAAATGATCCAATGATTGTAAGTTGTCCTCTGGGCTTTGTGATCATTTGGGCAATTTTGATGTGTTGCTCCTAGCCAGAATTTTGCCCTCAAGGTCATCCTGTGATGATGAGTGTTGGTTCCCTTGTGCTGGGCAGGTAACTATCAGTGTCTAATCATGCTAACACACTTTTTCTCCCTTGCAGTCGGAGTACCACTACGAGTATACAGCGTGTGACAGCACAGGTTCCAGGTGGAGAGTCGCTGTGCCCCACACCCCAGGCCTGTGTACCAGCCTCCCCGACCCTGTCAAGGGCACCGAATGCTGTAAGCAGCCTTCCTGCCCCAGGGCTTCTCCCTGACACTCAGCATCAGCCTCTATCCTAAGTCTCCTGCCATGCCAGCTATCTCTGCCTCATACAGCAGCTGCAATAGGAAGTCAGATCTTTCTCCTTGTCTCCATCCCTAATTCTTTCAAAATTTGGTACAGAAATGTTTTTCATGGATGCAAACTGGGTGTCTGAATCTTCTCTTTCCTTCTCTCTCTGGCTTTTTCAAAATGCTAGTTCTGGGGCTTGAATTCAGGGGACTGGGTGCTACCCCTAAGCATTTTTTTTTTGTCAGTTGTGGGATTTTAACTCAGGGCCTGGGAGCTATCCTTGAACTCTTGCACTCAAGGCTAGCACTTCTGGTTTTTCAGTGGTAAATTAGAGTTAAGTGTCTCATGGGGACTTTTATATATTTCCTGGTCTACCTTTGAACCATGATCCTCAGATCTCAACCTCCTGAGTAGCTAGGATTACAGGCCTGAGCCAGCAGCTCCTGGCTCCCTTAAGCTTTTTATTCAAGGCTAATACTCTACCAGTTGAGCCACAGCTCTGCTTCTGTATTTTAGCTGTAACTAGAGATAAGAGTCTCATGGAGGGGCTGGGAATGTGACCTAGTGGTAGAGTGCTTGCCTATTATGCAGGAAGCCTTGGGTTCAATTCCTCAGAACCACATAAACAGAAAAAGCCAGAAGTGGAAATATGGCTTAAGTGGTAAAGTGCTAGCCTTGAGCAAAAGAAGCTCAGGGATAGTGCACAGGCCCTGAGTTCAAGCCCCAGAACTGGCAAAATAAATAACTAACTAAAAAATCTCATGGACTTTCCTGCCCTGGCTAGCTTCAAACCATGATCTTCAGAGCTCAGCCTTCTAAGTAATTAGGATTACATGTGTGACACTAGTACCTGGCTTCTCTCTTCTTTTTTTTTTTCTCCTTCCTTCCTTCCTTCCTTCCTTCCTTTCTCTTTCTTTCTTTCTTTCTTTCTTTCTTTCTTTCTTTCTTTCTTTCTTTCTTTCTTTCTTCTCTCTCTCTCTCTCTCTCTCTCTCTCTCTCTCTCTCTCTCTCTCTCTCTCTCTCTCTTATTTGCAAGTACTGGGGCTCAGGATCTCAAATTCTTGCTTGACTTTTTTACTCAAAGCTGGTGCTCTACCACTTGAGCCACACCTCCACTTCTTGCTTTTTTTGCTGGTTAATTAGATAGAAGAATCTTATAGCTTTATCTGCCTGGGCTGGCTTCAAACCAGAATCCTTAGATCTTAGCCTCCTGAGTAAGTTAACAGGCATGAGCCACCAGCTTCTGCTTCTTTTATTAAAAAAAAAAAAACCACATTAAATCCTGTTCATGGAGAGAGTGTAAGCAATTCTAGCTGTATGAATAACACATTTATTTTCTTCTTTGCCTGTGAATTTTTCTGCAGTCTCTACTCAGCATTCACAATCAGCTATTAGGCAACATTGGGATGGTTTTGTTCTTGGAAAAGAAATCAGAGAAGGTGAAAATTCTGCAGAGAGGCCTTTAAAATGCACTGTGTGTCACTCCCAGGGGCTGCCGATCTGACTGCAGTCAGGAAGGTGGCTCTAATTTATTTATTTATTTTTTAATAACAGCTTTGTTGAGACACAGTTTACATGCCAAAACTTTTACCCTTTACAGCGCAAATGTCAGTAGCTTTTAGATTATGCATGCAGCCATCAACACTGTATATTTCCAAACCTTTTAACTATCCAGGCCCTGCCCTCAGCCCCTGGCAACCACAAATCTACTTGCTACCCCAGGACTTTCTGAACATCCATAAAATGTGCCAGGACCCCAGGTCCCCATCCCCGACCTCTTCCCTGTAGAGTACCCTCAGCCCCATTACTTGTGACCTCTCCACCCCTCCCTTGTCCTTGTCCTGCTGTCTAGCCTTCTCTTGCAACGCCGGAGAGTTTCTGGATATGAAGGATCAGTCCTGCAAGCCGTGTGCTGAAGGCCGCTACTCCCTGGGCACCGGCATCCGGTTTGATGAATGGGATGAGCTGCCGCATGGTTTTGCCAGCCTCTCAGCCAACATGGAGATGGACGACAGCGCCACTGAGTCTGCGGAGAATTGCACGTTGTGAGTCTGTGCACGCGCGTACACACACACACCACACACACACACACACACACACACACACACACACCCTGGATAGTCCTCAGGCTGGCAGGGACTATGTGGGAAGGTGGATAGTAGCCAGTGCTCCATGGGACTACCAGTAGCGAGCAGGCAGTTGTAGGGGAGAAAATCATGGATTCGTAGAGTCCAGTGGATCTGAGTGAGGTACAAGCGTTAATGGTCCTGTCTATGAAAAGTACAACCCAATTGGAATTTTGCATCAGACAATAACCTTTCTCAACTTGAGTGGAACACGATGTAGGATGTTATATGTGTCTTCCTGGTTTGGGTGCTGAACTTTTAAAACTGGGAATCCTCACTCTGAGTTTATGTGCTTGGGCTGGGGGTGGCTGAGATCTTATAAACCCCTTTGGACTCTGGTGACCAGAAATATTTGCAGCACAGATGGAGATTTTTGCCAGTAATTGAAAAGCTCAATATAAAATAAAAAATAAAATATAAAAGGTGTCTTTTATATGTCAGGTGTCATTCTGGGTGCTTTACACATATTAATTTTTTTCAATCTGTACAGGAACATGATGAAATACGTTAAGGGCTCTCATTGTAGCAATGGGAAACCAGGGGTTTTGTGAGATTAGCAATCTATCTTTGTTAACTAGCTTACAACTGGCAAGGTTGGAATTCAAATTCAGTCCCAGTTTTCACCTGCTTGGGACTGTCATCTTCAAATAATATCTATCTATCTATCTATCTATCTATCTATCTATCTATCTATGAATGAAGGTCCTGAGGCTTGAACTCAGAGCCTGAGTGCGGTTCCTTAGCTTTTTGGCTCAAGGCTAGCTCTCTACAACTTGAGCCACAGCTCCACTTCTGACCTTGGGGTGGTTAATTGAAGCTAAGAGTCACAGGCTTTCCTGACCAGGCTGGCTTCAAACCATAATCCTCAGATCTCAGCCACTTGAATAGCTGGGATTACAGGCCACCGGAGCCCAGTTCTCAAGTAACATTTATTTATGAGCCAGGTAATGTTGTTTCTAGCTACTAAAAGCAGAAGGATGCAAAGAGGCAAAAGCAGCTTTTGGTTAAATATAGTCAATGAGATCTGGGGGAGGGGAGTGAACCTTTCTCTTATTCTCAAACAAGCAAATATAAGAATGACTGGAAAGTCAAGTAAAGTGATGCAAAACTGTATGTAGTCTTAGCACTGGAAGGGCTTGAGGCAGGAGGACTGTGAATTTGAGGCCAGCCTGGGCTTACACAGTGAGATCCTATCTCAAACAAAGCAAAGATTCCCTCCCCCTCCATCTTCCAGAAGTACCAATGCTTGAGCCATTCAGTCATCCAAATTTAAAGGTATTTTAGAGTTCAATTGTATGTGGCATAATCATTGTATGATAATGTTTGGGGGACAGGGACAGAGACAGAACTAGAAGATGCTAGCCAATAGGAGAGCATATGTGTATATTAAGATAGTCAACCCCACTTGAGTCCTAATAGTGAATACCATTTGATCTTGGTCCAAGTGCAGACCTAGCTTAATCAATTCCTTCATGCAGAGGAAAGGTTTCACCTCTCTCCAAGGACTGTGCTGAGA